CCCCCTCCCCCCTTGCATTCTGTTAGCGTCGACTGATCCTCCCTCCGCCCTCCTGGAAAACAATGTGATCTCCCCTTCCGAAATAAAAATCTTTCAACCCCCTCCCAGGCCATTAAAAGATCACTATTCTCGCAATAAACATGAAGTGTCAGGCAACTCACTTTACTCATTATCTACCATGGAATAGATAGCGAGTAGTGTAGCCAATCAGATAGCAGGATTTGTAAGAGGACGTTGGTAGTATCATACTTCAACAGGAGCCCATACGGCTCCTGACTTAAATGGTTTCTTCAGTTTTGAGCTGTCTAATTTACCATGGACTTGTCTTACCCGGTGTTGCTTTGCCTCGCTGCATTGCAGACGGTGTCATGATAAGGAGAGGTTGATTTGATGGTGATTCCATAATAGTGATACCTGGCAATAAGCGAACGAGTTTTCATTGGTTATCATATGATAAGCTGAATCCTACTTGCATTTTGATGGTTCTTATCTATGATCTATAGGAGGATAGACGCATAAATGACGTCATTACCAACATTTATCTTCTTTATCATATAAAACAAATATATTCCATGTTGCCGTGCGTCTGTCCAGTAAAAGATCACAGAGGAAGGCAAAATGCGGAAAGAATATCAGTGACGCACTTGGCAGCGCCTCGTGTGCCACTTTTTTTCTCTTACCGCATTTTGATGTCATCTGTGATCTATTTCTGGACAGAAGCACGGCAACGCAATCTACTTGATGATTAGATTGTTTTGTGGGAAATGCTTGAAAATAAAGAATTGTATGAAACAATAAAAATCAACCTAAATTTTCAACATGGAAAGATAAAAATAGGAATGTATTCCTTGCAAAAAAAAAAATACATTCCATCTGTGCGATGACTTTTCATGTGATAAAAGGGGGTTGGTTTCTAAAGATACTGTGATGCTGCGTCGGTGGGAGAGTATAGCAAAATCCATGATTCTGCGAGTTTGTAGGTGCCACGTGAGTTAAAATTGACAATCAGTTGTTGTATATTTTCCAGTAGAAATTAGATATGGTCGTAGATGCACCAAGTTTGTTACAATCGTCGAGAAACATTTAACCCTTTCACTCCCATGAGTGACCAAGAGAGAATTTCTCCTTACAGTGTCAATGCAATATCAAGGAGACAAGTGAGGAGAATAACAAGTAATTTAGTGTTAACAACTGAGTTGAAAACGTAAACTGGCCACCGCAAAGAGTTAAAAAGCTGACATTTCGAGCGTAGATGACGTCACTAACAGCATATGATAACTGAGCGATTGTGTGTTCTTCATTATAATATACATTTGGTTTCTGTCTCTTAAGGGAACGTTTTCTGACAATGATTCTTTTATTGTGTTCACTTTTTTTTTTTCGAATTTTTTTGTTGCTATGCATTAACAAAAAAAATTGCAATGAACTCCTCGGCTAAAGGGAAAATATTTCATCAACACCTTTAGCTGGGAATAAAGTTGGCCAGCGTAATTCAAAAGAACAAAAAGACAATTTTCTCTAACAATAATAGTGAAATGTCATGGGAAAATTCTGGATCCACTTGATCACATGTGCTCCTTACGAACGCCTAAGGGATGTTTTGTTTTCTTTGGAGAGCAGAAGAATTCTTTTCCTCTTCTTGACACTTTTGTCAGACAAGCTAAACAACGATCCATTGCTACAGAATAGCTACTTCAAATTATTAATAGTTTTATGCGAAAAAAAAATCCCCCACGTTGAAACATTCAAGGTAAGGTAGTGACGCCCACGCCTCGATTTGTCTTCAGGGCAGAATGTTTTATGCAGGAAGCCTAAGCAACCAGTTTTTAAACAGACGTATTAGTTAATTTGAAATCGTTCAGTAAAAGCTTTTCTACCGGAAACTGCCAATCGCCGATTCCCTCCGGGTTCTAGTTGGGAAGTCAATCATCGGCCTATGTTTCTTTTTACAAACAACCAAAACATCGATAGCTTTTCAAACAAAAGCAGAGTAGCGTTTTTTTTTCTTAAATGATTCATTATCTATGTCAATTGTTTATTGGAATGCTAACGAGCTATTCAGATACGTACAATGGTCTGAACAAGTTAACGGATTCAATTGTGTAGCCACGTGTTTGTTAAAAAGTCCTAAGAAGATTACTCGCTCCCTGTAAAATGAATCAGTAACTCAAGCAAAAAAACGGAAAGACTTTCAAATTTTACATGAATACGTGTTGCTGGTTAACCGCAACTTTCTTTTTGCCAGTTTGTTTCTTGTTTGTTATCTTTTTTCAAGTTGCTTTGTTTAGCTTATGTAATATACTGATGTTTTTTTTTTAACGCAAGGAAAAAAAAAACGCAAGATAAAGCGCTTAATGATAACCTCTGAATAACTAACTATACTTTTTCTTTTAATTAAATTTTCTTTCGACATTAAGTACACACAGCCCTACGTATTTCACAATCGGTTGATGACTTTGCTATCGACCCCCTAGGTGGGTTTATAATTTTCATATTTAACGTTACCACGATAATTTACTTACTTGGACTGACCACGTGTTCCAAGCCTTCTGGTCTTTAAATTCGGAAAGGTATGGCGAATAATCTATAAATAGGAAAGGAATATTATCTACCTACTTCATGCACGTTTATATTTTTTATGAGCCTGGTTTACATCAGTGACTTAACTCAGACAGACAAACGAAACAATTTTGTTCTCTCCATTGTTGTCAAGGAGTTTATTCCCTGCTTTGTCACGAAATCTGTAGTAGGCTTTTATCTGCGGGAGATGTTATTTAACTGAAAAAAAACATTTCTCACCTTTCCGAAACTAGCTGCATTGACTGGAGCTAAGTTATTCTTTTCACAGAAGTCCAAATAATGAGAATACAATGCACTTCGAGGCAAACTGACTCCTTCAGAAACTTCGTAATTTTCATTAAGCCTGCAGAGTTAAACAGAACGTAGCATTGATACAAGCATGCGGTATATACACCCAAATCAAATTACTTGAATAAATAACCCCACGCAGACTAAAAGTGACCAAGAAAAAAGCGGTAAGTTTCATGTGAACCAACCAAACTGGCAATACTTGCGAACTAATAAGAAGGCTGAAATGTTAAAACATTTAGTTGTTTTAAACTCTTGTCCTAGTGTCATAAAAAAATTTTTAGAAGCTATTTTACTCATCTTATTATTATTATTACTGAAGCCGGTGAAAAAGAGCATAGCTCTACACGGCCTCTCGATGGCTATAAGTTTTTTTTCTCTACTGAAAGGATGGTGGCTTTGTTTATAGAAATTTTAAATATATCGTGTGTAAAATGTTGCTATATTTACTTTCTTTTCAAAAGTTTGAAAATTATTTATTCTCTAAGTGGCAGACAATTAACAGGCTTTGCATTAAATCCTTTGGTGTTTCGCTCAATTGAAATAATGTCTAATTTGCAAGTTCATCAGTTTTTTCTCCTATTTAACTGACCACAATTATCTTACTCGACTAATGATTCCTTGAGGCGGTATTTGTAAAAATAACATTGATAAAAGTAACATTGACATGTTATGTACATACCACTGAATTGTCAACGGCGATTGAAGTTTGCTATGCGACACGTAATGGCTGTTGGAGTAAATTGTTTGTTGACCTGCAAAGAATGCACTAAGTGTTAAATAAATACCAGGTGGAAACATTAGGACCTGTAGATGCCTGGAAACTACTACAAAATTCTTGAAAACAGACGTTAAAACACTAGAGAAAAAAGCGAAGCAATCCCTTCTGCTGTTTAAAACGCTCTAGATTTCTAGACTTAGAGAACGCACTAAATTCTTTATTCTCTCGCGTCTTAGATGATTCGCATCGAGTCTTCAATCTATCTAAGGCGTAAGCTGTTTTAAACAATAATTCCATATTCATTGTGAGTTTTCAAAGGAAAGTTTTGTTCGTTATTGTTGTTAATTGTGTTATCATGTAAATATCCTCTCAGTAATACCGTTAATAACCTGCTGGAATGATAAAATAAAACCGTCATTTTTACGTTCAGTTCCATACCAACGGGTGACCAATTAGAAAACGTGTCTAAGAAAAGAAAGCCTGAATTGCATTTCAACGTTTCTTTTTTTTAGTGAAAAGTATCCGACTCTGTATGTTTTCTCTTGCTTTGCTATATAGTTATTTTCGTGTGACTTCTACTGTCTTCTAAGGATTTTTCGTCGTTAAAAAAGTGTGAACTTTTTCATAAATGGGGTAAGTTTCTAAAGAAACTGTGGTGCTGCGTCGCTGGTAGAGTATAGTAGGGTAATTTGGTAGTATCAACGTAAATTGGCAACCGTAAAGAGTTTCAAAGCTGACTAAGCTTTCGCTTTGATGAAGGGCTAACGCTCGAAACGTCAGGTTTTAAACTCTTTACGGTGGCCAATTTACGTTATAAACTCAATTAATAATACCAAATTATCCTGTAAACTTTTTCAGTAGCGTTTCTTCGTTAAAACGTTCGTTCTTAAATTGCTTATAAATAAATTTAATCAACTTCAATTAATCGAACGTAAACATCCTTGAGAGCATCCCAAAAGTTTAGGGATTTAATATCGGTTACATTTACCGTCAAAATTTGTTTTTGATATTTACCTTTCTGGTGGTTGAATGCCCAGTTACATAATTTTCGAAGAAAGAAGAGCCGAGGAGAAATGACGGTAGATCGCAGTTCATTTCACGGATCGTATTTGTTTTTTAATGTAAGTTTTTTTTATTATTCTTTTCATTATGTGAGATCGATAGTAGATACGATTTAAAACGTGTGTTGTAAGATCAGACATACCAAATTTTATCAAAAAATGATTAAAAAATCATAATTTTATATATGTCAAATAATTATCTCTAAAATTGTGGCGTCGCTGACTTTTTCTCGGTTGTGTAAAGTTCAATGTTGCAGGTTCTACTGCCATTCTTTCAAGGAAATTTTGATGACATATTAATTTCATATCCATTGCATGCGCATTTTTTACATAAAGTTGCAAATGAACCGCATCGCGCTTTAGATTGATTTATGATTTTCGAGACAGTGATTTGTATCGGTTAAGAGGATCCGGGCCACATGCCTCTTTCTTCTAGGAACAAAGGAGGACCGAAGGTAATTTTATAATAACCATTGTCTTCGCGGTTTCGCTTGGCTGCCCGCCAATCAGAAATTGAGCACTAATTAGTGGCACGCGCTATTCTTTACAAACGAGATCGTGATTTACATTTTCATCCAAGAGCGATTCTAAACAGAGCGAGTTTGTTTGATCTTTTGGTCGTGTTTTATAAGTAACTGGTTGTCGAATCAACACGAAATACCAGTAGTAAGGGGAAAGTAAACTTAAAATGTTAATTCTGTGAAGTATTCCGCGTTAAACTCCCACAGTTAAGTGTTTAAAAGTTGACAAAGTTTACCACAGACGGCAAATGGAAATTCGTTCTTAAAATCAGTTAACATTCCGTCTGGTATTGTTAGATATTTTCTGCTGAATTCTTCGATAAAGTTGACACTAGCTAAGTAGTTGCCTTTTGAGTAATTTGTTAATAAACTTAAAAAAAAGAGTAACTTGGAAAATTCTCGACAAAACTTCGCATTTGCAGTCAAAAGAGTGAATGGTTTAAACGTTTCCAGACTTCATTTTACCGGATATGAGTGTATTTACTCTCTCGAGTGCATATTTGTGCGCCTATCATCAAAATACACGCAATGTAAGTTTGCTAATTTCCAGTTTCTCAAAGAAATTATCGCCAGCCAAAGCGAAAGTCGATCTAACACTCAAATGAAAAAGTGAAATGTGTGGTGTCATAGAGTTCGAGAGGGTGTGCTCCTCGCGTGATACACTGTGTACAACATCAATCTGTAGGGCTATGCTGCTTAGGTAGTTAATAATTTTCCCTGTGAGTCATAGAAACCGCATAGAAACACGCATCTTAATCACCTAAAGAGTAAATCTGGGTGCACTTGCGTGCCTTAGGCACATCCATGTTAACAGGGCTGTGATGTATTCCATCCCGGCGATAATTGCAGCCTGCGTCGCTCAGAGAGTACTAATTACATAGCTACTTGCTAGTGAGCAAAATGAAGACAAATAATCTGAACCATTTCAACTCACCTGATCCCCGTGGCATTGTTCCGACCGTGATTCCACTTTGAGCTCCCTTTTCCAACGTCTGTGAGATAATCAAAATTGTTAGAACTTTGGTTTTGAGATCTGTCTCTGCAGATGCTGCTCTGATTAGCTACTGGTGCGGGCGCTGGTTTTGAATCCAAGTTTTTGTTTATACGCCGTCGTTGTTAACTCTAGTTTTGAAGTTTTTGTACACCGCCCATGGATCGACCAGGTCCCAACGAACCACTAGCTGTCCTCATACACCAGAGAGTAACTATCAAAAACACCCAATGTGTGACATTGGGACTAGAGAACTGCGACCGTGTCTTGGTTACAAGCTTCAGAGACAATACGCTGCATTGTTTTAGGCCTAGCGTGGTTTGCTTATGGCGCGTGTGTCAGAGACCATTGTCAATTGTCATTCACTTAATTGCTCTGTGGCTGTAAGATACACAACTGTACACCGCGGCACGCGCAAACAATTAACTCAGACACTCGCCACGTGCCTAAACGAGTATTGTTATAAACTCGAAGACATGATCTGCTTCTTGAAGTGGAATTGCATTAAGCGACTTAGATGTGTCGGAAGCAAACTAAAAATGACATTTTTGCTTTGTCCTAGCATAAGCTCTGCGCCGTTTTCGTTGTTTTTATAACCAGGGAATTTCGTTTACTCTTAACTTAATTTCCGTTTAATGACCGTTGAGTTTTTCAACTCTGCATTCAACAGCTGGTTAAGCAAATTTCTTTGTCTTTCTTTGTATGGTGTAAAAGGGTCAGGCACAGGTGTTCGCCATTAGTTAAACGTCTTCTCGTCTGTGGAAAGCACGCTTGCTGTAAGATTACACGCGCGTGCTTACAGCACTGAACAACACGCTGTTAGAAATTCTGACTGGGTATGGCGCGACACAGAGGCGCATCTTTTGATAAAAATCTTTACTTATCCCATTTTGAAAATGAAGAAAGAAAGGAGAACAAAACAAAAGTGTGACAAAGCTTTTAATGAAACCAGAAAGGCAGCGCTTTGCCCGAGTTTCAAGACGACAATATGACTTGGACGGCGAGAGATTGGGACCGACAGGATAAGGTGTCGCTGGCGCCCCCTCGGCGACTTGTTTACAAGAAGACGAAGGACTCTTTTGTTAGCGGCAGGAGTTAACATTAAAAATAACAAGAACATGATGAAACGGTTAACGTTCGTTACACTGCTGGAAGCCAAACAAGTTCGTTACTGTTTGTAAGTTCAACAAACTGAACGTAAATAGGAGGAAAACTCACTACAGTGGTGTTTTTTTCTCGAACTCCTTAGTGAAAACATTCCCACCAATCACAGCCAGTTCAGCGTAGAGCCCGTTTTATTTGCATATCAATATTGAGCATGGAATAATTTGTTTCATTCTATACCACCAAGCTTGTATTACCTATTGTATGTTAACAAGTCAGTAAGTAGTATCTAAGCAATCGTGTATGAATCAGCTGGAACGCACGTGTTGATCAGCGAATGATCGCGAAAGAAGCGATAGAATCTTTGATCTCAGAAGGGATAGAACGTTCAATCGGTTCATAGCGAAACCGTAACATCAGTGTGAAATGAAATTTTATGGCTGCAATGAGTTGACACTTCGCCTTAAACCCTAATCTTCGATCGTTATTATTCCGAAAGCAATATGAACGTCGATTTAAAAGCGATGAAACGATCTCCTGCAAAAGCAAATATATCAATAGGCCAGTTTTGCACACATTTTCCTTTTGTACTCGGCAATAAACATGTAACAAAGTGTGAAAAATCATTTATCAACTCGTTAACTTCATGCTGTTGCGAGCATTAAAAAACCGCGAACGCGTCCCACAAAAAAAGACGCCGAGGCATATCGCGGGTTACGAGAACAATTGGGCCTATTATTTTTCCTGCTTTGCGCGAAGTTTGCTACAAGCGATAAAAGGCACCTAGAACCAATGTTTTCCTCCACTATCATGCAGCTAATTAAATTTCGATCGGAGAGTCGCTAAGTTCGATGACGAATGTAAAGGGGGAAACTTAAAGCTTATTTTCAGTCGACCAAGTTCGTGTGATATTCATCAGGACTGGTTCCTTATCTGCGAGAGTTTCCCCCACAAGCATTTTTTCACCAAAAAGTGGCAAATATTGAAACCTTTCTACGTGTCAGGAAAAAAATTCTTTCTAAGGGTATAAATGGTACGTTTAGTGAAAAACTAAACAAACAGGCAGATTATAATAAATCTGAGCTTTCAATAATCTATCCTTGTTAAGTCCTGCGATCAAAAACCCCGACGGATTCCGCGTGTCAAGTGATTCCAGAATTATTTATTATTTATATACGATAAACGTAACAAAAACAGGTAAGAAGACGCTTATGGAGTAGATTCAATATTATTTGATTTTCCTTCAACACAGCCTCCAGTCCATTGAAGGAAAGAACTTCAATTAAAACTACATCAAATTACTGTTCCTTCCCCGTGAATTCTCAGTTGTAGACATATAATGAACGTTTAATTTACCTTCCCATGAACATAAATTTTACTGCTAATGGATGAGTTAAGTAACAAATTTCTGTACTGATTTTAATCTAAGGCAGGAGTTTAACAGAAAATAAAATCAAGACTTGATGTGACCTATTCTAAATATTCAAGTTCTGTGAATCCGTTCCCAAAGCGGAAATTTTCATTTGAAAAATATTCGTGAACATTGAGAAAGAATGTAGTGTATCTGTTGTACTACCGATTTGAAAACGTTCCGAATGAGAGCTTTGCTCATTTCAAGTCTACGCCTAGATTATTTCTGAAGATTGCAGGCTACACAATACATGGAAATTGTTGAAATTGATTTCGGCATTCTGGGCATAATCAGAGGACTAGGCAGTCTAGTACTGTGAAGCAGTGACGAAGCAAAGCAATGGCTATTAATCGATGGTCTTAAAGGTTAAAATAATTTCCAGATCACTAGAAAACCAGCCCTAAATCGCACGCTCAGAAGTCCGAGATACAGTTTTAGGATGGACAGGTAGACTTTCCTTCGCGGCGGCATGACGAAGATGGAAAACGTCCACTTGACCACAGACTTTTGCCCAGAAAGTTGCGCGCCGCAGTCATAGATGAAGCTAGCACATTGGGGAGTTCACCCTAAACCAAAACGATTGATTAACTAGACTGCAAAACAAACCCGTAGCCCAGCAAAGGATGGATTCTTAGGAATAGAAAGTTAAAACACGGATCGTTCGCTGGCAAAATTCTATGGAAGCCAACAGAAATATGCCTTCTTTGATATTCCCATGCAACGAGAGGACGTGTGTAGATGGGAGGCAAAATGTTCGCGGTTTCCCTAAGTTACAAATCTTTTGGTGGCAAGTTGCTACTGAAAGACCTCCTTACCTTTCAGAATTTCCAACTTTCTGTGATGACGAAAAAGTCTTTCCACCAAATCCTCAGATATCCCTGCAGCAAGTTACCCGCCGAACACTGTTCAACTCACTGCTTAATGGAAAACAGGAGTTGTTATTTTTAGGGCCTTGTTTTGTGCCCCTCTTTTGTGATTCAAGTAAAACAATAAAATCTAGAGTTCTCATCGTGTATTTATTACTTTGATTGACAGTTTAAGTTTTCTTGGAGAAGTAAAAGCATATTGGAGGAGTCCACCTTTGAGGCGACCGCAGCACACAATAGGTTGTTAATTTTGCTTTCAGTAGTACATGCCACTCTTGAAGTTTAAATATCCATGGATATTTACTAAGACCTTGAACCCAGCTAAAGATATTCCTCTGTTTACGCATGCACATTTATTTGTTACCCAATGCACCCGATTCAGCCTCTTTGGTCACTTTCCGACTCACTTGCAAGCGAAATACAAAACTCCCTTACAAGCTATACATAAAATGCGTCTTTCTAATTTATTATATTTCGCGATGTTTCCTCGTAGGTTACGCGCAAAAAAAAAAACTATTTTTGATTATTACGTTTATGGAAAGATGGTGACCTTTACTTTACTTATTCTCCGTAATATATGTTTAATTTCGCCCAGGTTTCCCCTTTCATTCATCTTCATGGCAAGGTGTATTGTGTTTTCGTCCATCTTCAAAATTCTGCGCATGGATGTTTTGGCAGAATTTCTCCCCCCAGGCAAGTGAATAGATAATAGCCATGTGCTGACAAAATTAAAGTTTGCTGTGAGACAATTGAGTGATCTACCCGTCTATATGAAAAGAAAAGCCTCATTTCTCAGATCAGATACAGAGTTTCAACAATTGCATCAGGAGTTATGCTCAGATACCGTATATCACAAACGCATCAAAAACCAGTCTTGTTCGTTTATTATTGTGTTTCCCCGCTTAAAAGACCACGGTAATTCTATGTGCCTAATGTTTGGTTTTTGATCGCTGCATCGTTCCCAAGCAGGCTTTGTATCTTAGCAAGAAACCATGGATTTTAAAGACGCTCGCGAAAAAATCTCGCTCGCTTTTTTCATGCAAAATTTAATAGAAAACTGAACGTGGAAAAAAATTTGCAATTTAAACTGCGTTCTTGAACTTTGTCTGCGGTCGGTTAGTGTACGTTAAGAAAAATTCGATGACTTTGTCCAATTTCAGTCAAGAGAGTAAATTGTTGTTTTGTTACGTTAATCAAATCCATGCTACTGAGAGACGGATCAGAAGTTCTTTCAGAAGGGCATCGTTTTTTCCCACTTTGGCTTTGCGCACGTCGATGATATAATTTTTGCGTCGATATTTCAGAGTAATTCCCAGCGCTTTAGGAATGAATTGCCAAAGATTTAGAGTCGATTTGTCTCTAAGCTAAACACGTGTATGAACGATAAGACTATTGTGAACAACTTTCCTACCGCAAATCTTCTTTTCGTCCTTTGTTTGAGAGTGAATTATATTCATAAGGTTCCGTTATTTCCCCCCCGAGTTTAAGCTTTTATTATGCCACTTACAAAATAACCGGAGACGAAGAACACGAACTGGAAAGTTGATGTCGACTTCAATAAAACTTTGTGGCTTTATTTCGATGAAATCTATGGAGCCTAAACTCATCTCCGAGCCATTGATTTAACAATGCACGATACTTAAATTTGTGTTTAAACTTATTAGGCGAAATGTGCAGGCCACCGGCGTCATTAGATTGTTGTCTTGCTAATCACATTCGCGTCTAGCTGATGTTCGGCAGAGCTAATGCCGCCATTTTCAACAATCAGCCTTGTTGACTGAGATCCTTTTAGTGCTGACTGAAAAAATTACCTTTTTTGTCAATAAACCGTAGCTTGCTGTAATTAAAACATTGTTACATCATTCAAAACGTTTTTGCACCTTGGATAAATTGATCATGCGATGAAACAGCACGACACTTAACCCTCTTTCATCGCTCGAAGTTTTGAAACAATTTTAAGGACACAGTGCTGCTTAATATGGAAACGTTCGCACTTGCTGGTAAAACTCACGGATTTCAATGGTTGTGACAGTGAAAACCTTTGTCAAAGTTTAGTGACTCAATCAATGAACAATTGAACTGAAAATACAAATATTGCTTTGAAAAACGCCGGATGTTTGCTTTCATATAAAGTAATACAGTCACTGTGAAAATATCGTTCCCAAAAGCTTTCGAACATGACAGAAGATCAACACAAGTTATGATCTGTGAAATGGTAAAACTCTCGCGTCCTGAGAAAATCTTTGCTTGTCATCTATAGCTAACTCTTGGTTCTTTTTTAAGATACATATGAGTTTTATTACGTAGTTGCAGAGCTCTCAAACTTAAGTAAATACATAAAGCGCATTTGCCGCTTTTCAGATGAAATTAGTGTTTCTGACGGGAATTGAACGTGAATAAACAGTCGTCTGAAGAAAATCACACTTTCTTAACGATGAACACTAGCTCTTCAAGCCAATTTACTGGAACCTTCTATTCATTTGTTTTGTTTAAAATATTCAGAGCAATTTAAATCGTTGAGATTTTTTTGCCATGTGGTTGACAAGGAACATTGAAACAACATTAGCCAATCGAAGGCAGAATTCACCCACCTTGCCAACATATTACTCTGTTCTATTTGCCAGTTTTGTGAAGAGAGATGAATGGAAAATGGAATTTCAATTTCTCGGTGAAGTCGGAGTTATCTAATAAACTTCTCTAAGGCTTTCAATAAAAGAAATTGTGACAGTTCTCACATATAAAGCGCTCGTATCTTGGCAATATACTTTCTTTATAACTGAAACCAGTAATTTAGCCAAGAATTTGGGGAATCCACTTCATTGGAGTAAATGATACCACTTCCATAACCGGTGGCGACAACTACAGTGCCTCAAAATTCGCCGAAACCTTTGTCCCCATGAATCAGAGTCACACGCATGGCGACAGTAAATATTTCACAGTGTTGCTTTGAAACAGCAGCAGTAGTTGTGTTATTGAAAAAAGTATCAAAAGAGGTAAAAGATTTACCCGTTAAAATTGCTTTGTTTCCTTTCTGTTGTTGTCTTGTTAATTTTTTTATACTGAGCCACCGGGCGTTTCAAAAGTTTTCGAGTCCAACGCGGTATTTTTTCGTCAATTTAATTCCGAGCATGATAGAAGGAAGCGAAACTACTTGTTAACAAAGGTCTCTATATTTTGGATGCCGAATGTAGTACTACCTACATACCTTCTTAGCGAAACGAACTTTGCAACATCTCCCGCAACAAAGTCTAATTTATGATCTGTGGAATGAAGAATTGCCGTTTGATTACACAGAGGGTAATATGGACGTCTTCTGTATATGTATAAGGCTTGTCTACAATGAAACACTATGGCAGTTATTTGCACGGATTCCAAAATTATTGAAGCGTGCATCTGCACCTCTCTCGATTATGAATAACATCACAGTACCGATCTTGCGGTATTTCGACTTTAAAGCCACTCGTTCTTCAGGTAGATTTAACTGAAAATGAGTGAATGAAAACGCGATTGCTGCGTGTTTGGTCTGATATACATTCTAAAAAAGAACCTGTATTGTACCCTCGGCTCATAACCTTCACCTTGGCATGGAATACTCCACACGTGCTTTTTTACGCCCACATTAACCAGGTGTAAAAAAGGACGAGTTTAACGATCGCTTATAAAATCGAAAACGTTGATTTTTTAAATTTAACTTGTTTCAGATGCAGTGCAATAACTCGAGACAAACGCGGCAAAATATATACTGGCTGCATGTTTGCGTTATTTAGACATATCCTAGCGATTGATCGCATTTTGAAACATAATGTTTTGTTTTGTAAGATCATTATCAATACGGGCTTAAAATGGCCATTTAGGAGTGTGTAGACCACAAGCTGTCCCCCTTTTTTCAGTTGACAAAAAAACAGAAAAAAAAAGACAGCGAAAAAAAAAAGGTTGAATTCAAGTGCAATTCCCGATTTTTTTTTTTTTTTTCACTCGCACGACGGACTTTGCCGAAAAGAAAGAAATATTCTTAGTCTAAGAATTGTGATCACAAGAGAACTATATTAAGATCTAAAGCACGACGCAGGTTAGGAACATTTAATTTTACTATGATCAGGTGTTGGGAAGCAAAACAGCGACTAAAGAGTGGCATATGCAAAACGCTTGGAAATAACATCTATGGCCAGTACTTGCTACTGTAATGTACAAGTTTATACAACAAGCTAAATTAAACACGCATTTTGATTGGTCAGGCTTTCCTATCATCTATTGGAGGACTACTCATAGATTCCGTCAACATTAACAACATTTTGCTTCGTTTTCATGAATTAGCCTGCAGAACCGCAGTGATATTTTTGCGTTTTCAGGCGCTCGCCTTGGGCTTGCCTCCGTTCGCATGTAAACGCAAGGAAAAAACAAAAAAAAACACCTCCAGTTCTGCAGGCTACGTTATCACAGAACATATTCCTTTTTACCGTAGGTCTGTTTAGTGATAGGTCACAGAAGGCCATGCGGTGGTAGATTGCAGTCGCTGGTACACGGTATAGGACCTGAATACAAGATTCAGTCATTATTTATCCTGTGGGGGAAGAGGGTCGGGGATTTTGGTTGCGTCACAACATAATGAACCTGGTCCCCCCATAAGACTCTGTAATATTCTTATGATCCCCCTCTTTGGAAGTCAACTTTCTTTTGTCCCCCGTATTATAATCTTTTGGTGACAACCAATACAACCTCCGTACCCTTTGTGATCCCTAAAAAATCCTACGTGTACAGATGCTCTTTCCAGGCCCTACTCATAGAGAAAGAGGCTCGGTTACCTAGCCTGTCGTTCGTTGACAACAAATGGCGTCTCTATCACCGTTCAACTTGCTCGTACTAACTTGCATCAGTTTATTCGAAAACCACCGGTAGAAAATAATTTTTAAGAATAATTACACCATTATGGCTACTATGATCAACGGTCAGTTGATCCTGGAAGAGGAATATGATGAAAACTATCAACCGACAGAACAAGGTAAATGAAATTTCAACTTTGCAGTTTTTGTCATGTTTACGTCTAAGTTCATCCAAGATTTTAGTGATTGAAATAAAGCTCGGAATATTTTTCTAATTTGT